CCCCCCCCGCCCTAACTCTGTCAAGCCGACAACTTGACGCGGTTGCTGATTTGGTGCTTCTGTCCGCAGGGAACGCCCACCCTGCGCCCGGCCGCCAACTTCAACGCGGCCGAGGACGGCGCCGCGCTGCGCGCCGCCATGAAGGGCTTCGGCACCAACGAGCAGGCCATCATCGACATCCTGACGGCGCGCACCAACGCGCAGCGCCAGGAGATCGCGCGCTTCTTCACCACCGAGTACGGCAGGGCAAGTGTCTCCCCAGCTCCAGACCGCCCTGTCCAAGAGACACTGTGAAAAATGTCCTCGGAAATTTACAACATTTTGCTGTAAATTTTATGTACAAAATATGTTACAAATTTCCGACAGCTCGTCGGTGAATTCCAAGCTGATACAAAGTGCTTGTAAATTAATTATTTCTAATTGTAAATTTGGCGACTTACGACCAGTTTTATACGGTGAGACCGTTCTCTGACCGAATCCTGTCCGCCCAGCAGGACCTCATCGAGGACCTCAAGAGCGAGCTCGGCGGCCACTTCGAGGACGTGATCGTGGCGCTGGTGCGCACCCCGGAGGACTACCTGTGCAAGCAGCTGCACAAGGCCATGGAGGGCGCCGGCACCAACGAGCACACCCTCATCGAGATCCTCTGCTCGCGGTCCAACTCGGAGGTGCAGGACCTCGTCACAGCGTACGAGCGCCGTAAGTGCCGGCCGCCAAGGCAAGCCTCTTTGGGCCTCGTCCTTGATGGCTACGGTTCCGGAAACAATCTTTTTTTTTTCTGGGCGTAATTGTTGCTCAAGATTTCCTCTTGTTTTTCCAGTTTATGACAGGCCTCTAGCTGAGCACATGTGTGGTGAAACATCAGGTCACTTCCGTCGTCTGCTGACACTCATCGTCACGGTAAGTGAGGAATTAAGAAAGCGTTTACAGAATTACTTCCACTGCATAACGACCCCAAAGTCCTCATGCAGTTATTAATGCCTTTCGCACCTCAGAATCTCCAAAGAAATTCAAGCCCTTTTACTCTATTTCGTCGTGTCATTTCTCTTTTTTGCCCGCGTGACTACTTTTTTTTTCTCACGGTGTACTTGTGACAGCCTTAATGACCCAGACTCACTTCAATTACACATCATTAGTCTGCATGTGGACTGTAGACGACGAGACGGCAGCCGAGGACGACCCGACGCAGCACTGCGCTTCTTACTTCTTACACTAACGCCTCTGGTGGTCTGTCGTCGGCTACACTGCTGGGGGGCATGTCGAAGTGGTCGAAGTCCTCAGGATACCCCTGATCCCCGTTGCTCTCTAGTGGAACAGTTCAGGTTCCGGTTTCGTTCAAGCGGAGCGGAAGCACAACAGCATATTGAAGCAGTGGACAAACTACCGAGGCGTGTCCATATTGTGGCCAGCCTGAACTGAAGGTGTTAATAATTCCCTCCCTATCCCTCCCTATCCCTATCCCTATCCCTCCCTCCCTATCCCTCCCTCCCTATCCCTCCCTCCCTCCCTATCCCTCCATCCCAATCCCTCCATCCCTCCCTCCCTCCCTCCCTATCCCTTCATCCCCCCATCCCCGCTCACCTCCGCATCGGCCCCACGAAGCCCGAAAAGGGAGAGTACCTGTGGTATAGGTGGGGTGGGGGGGGCGTGGCCAACAGAAGGGCCGGGGCACTCCAATGAAAGTGGGAAACCAGGGGGTATTAAAACCAGAGGGTATCCTGGAGATGCACAGTGAAGTGCACAACTAGGGCGCGCTCGTCCACACTTCTTATCGTCGCGACCGCCTCTCGTCACTGCCTCGCACACGCTGCCTGTCTGTCTCGCACTCCGCATGGTGACTGACCTTTGACCTGCTTTGGATTGGCTGTGCGCAGGGGGTGCGCTCGGAGGACGGCGGCGTCGACCCGGGCCGGGCGCGGGAGCAGGCGGAGCAGCTGTGGTCCGCAGGTAGGTTGGCATGGATGGGCACGGCGGGCACGCACTCCGCACGGCATGTCGCACGCACCGCACTTTATTTACATCCAATGACGCCGTTTTGAGGATGTTGAATCGTCATACCGTATCAAGTTTCCGAATGGATCAGCAATTCCATTCAGAAATATGCAACCTGTCGAGGTAATTTTCTCTCGGACTCTCGTGGATAAAAAGTACTCTACTTCCCAAAGATGGCGTCATTGGTGCACGACTCACTCCGTGATGGTTGCTGTATATTTTGTTGGTGTTGTTGGGAGGGGGGGGGGCGTACGAATGCATCGTGCTAACGATCGTTGATGATGTCATCGTTGGCGTCATCGGTGAGCTGACCACTCATGTCCTTGATTCCTCCCGCATGTGGCCCCCCCTGCTTGTATTGATAACTCGCCTGCATGCCATCGGCTGGGCCTCTCTGGAACACTGGCACTGGGAAATGTAATGTGCGGCATCAGGAGTTGGTTCAGCGCTCACGTCTCCGCTCTCGCTCTTTCTTGCTGAACGCATTACATTCGACTTCCAACTCCCTCGTCGACCGACTTATTCTCAATAAGAGCAGTTTTTATTTCCCCGTAACGCTGACGGCTCCCCCGCTACTCTGCCCCCCTTACGTCATATATTCACTCCTAACTCGGGGCCCCCGCGTCGACCCTTGGTGTGTTGCAGACGGGGGCCGACGCCAAGAAGCCCGTCAACAAGGAGGCGGCCGTGGCGCAAGCTATCGAGCTGCACAATGCAGGCATGTAGTACACGACCTACCTCGTCTGCCTTTCTTCCTTCTTCGACCAGAAAATTTCGACCTGAAAATCCCGCTTTGCCCTCTTTATGATGTATGTTGGCTCGTGATTGTATATTGCTCACATTTTGCGACCCTTTTCTCCCCCGTCGGTACGATTTTACTGGCCTGTGGTAATTATTGTAGTCATGAATATAAAATGTAGGTAGATGTTTGCTTCGAGATGGGGGTAGATTTCTCGTCGTGTCGTGTGTTGTATAGGCCTACAGTATTGAGTGATATGCATGTCGTGGTTTTTTGAACTCAGTGTATGGAAGGGGAGAGTCCTTCCTGTGGAAGTGCATGATCAATTGAGAACACGGACGTGTTTTCAACGTCTATGAGTAGCGAATCATCATAGGAAATATCACAATTTATGTGATGTTCCATAATGTTAAATATTACAATGAGACAAATTTTGAGAGATTGGAATGGTTTTTTCTGAGTCTTCTAATGCTGTAGAAAAAATACCCGATGGATAAACTATACTGTTCTGCAAACGACACTTAACATTTGAATCTTATCGTTGTCTAGGAGAAGGCAAGCTCGGCACGGATGAGGAGGTGTTCAACCGTATCTTAGCTCACGAGAGTTTTGAGCAGCTGAGGCTCATTTTCGAGGAGTACAAGAACGTGTCCGGGAGAACGATCCAACAAGCTATCAGGGACGAGCTCTCCGGGGACCTCAAGGAAGCCATCGGCACCATTGGTGCGTATTTATTTCCCCTAAGTTATTTGTCCTGCGCGGAAATAGATTTCCATCACTGTGAAAAATCGTCGTAGGTTCACTGTAAAAAATATCGTCGTAAATTTACAACATTTTTGTAAACTCGAATTATAATTTAAGTTGTAAATTTACGTGAGCACATTTTTTACTCGCCACTGAATTTTGAGTCGATACGTATACTGCATGTATTAACGATTACAAATTGTAATTTTACAACTTGCTTCAAGGCAAATTTTCCTGTAAACATACCCACTATTTTTCACAGTGTTTACGGAAAAAATTTCCATGAAGTGTGTCGTAAAAATTGCAATTTGAAATTGTAAATTTATAAGCACTTCGTAACGACTTTCTATAGATTGACATGCAAGGATCGTGTCGCAAATTTACAACATATTGTAATTAAAAATTACGACAAATGTTGTAAATTTACGAGGATTTATTCTGTTCTAAAGTATTTTTATTTTGCAGTGGAGTGCGTGCAGAATCCCGCGGCATACTTCGCGGAGCGCCTGCACAAGGCCATCGCTGGCGCCGGCACGGACGACGAGACCATGATCAGGATCATCGTGAGCCGCAGCGAGGTGGACCTGGGCGACATCAAGCAGGAGTACGAGCGCCTGTACGAGAAGACTCTGGAGAGCGCCGTCAAGGTATGGGACTCGGGGCCTGGCTGGGCCACCGCTCTAAGGGTTGATGAAAATTATGCTGATCATGTCATGTCTTGCAGGGCGAGTGTTCTGGCGATTACAAACGCACACTTCTGGCGCTCATCGGTGGGCCGTGAAGTTGGAAGATTGGGTTTTAATTATTTATAGAT